TCCTTCTCGTGCGCTCTTATGATGCGGGTTGGCTGTCGCGGTATGGGCACCTCCTTGCCCCCACAGGCACGACCCCCGCGCTCCGCGGGGGCCTGCTGCTCGTGGAAGCGGTGCCGCCCGGGCCGCCCCAGGGTGCCGCGGCTGCCTCCGCCGCGGCGTCCGCGGCGGCGCTGTGGCCCCGCGTCGGGGGCTTCCTGGAGGCTCGAGGGGCCCAGACCCCCTCGAGTCAGGAAAAATCAGGGGGTCAAGGTTTTCTCTATCTTCGGTCTCTGGGGGCCCTCACCGGGCCTCGGTACTGCAGCTTTCGGAGTTTTTTGGCCTCCAGGGCCCTCAGACGGAGGTTTTTTTGTAGTTTTTGGCCTCCAGGGGCCCTCGCCGGGCCTCGGTACCGTCAGCAAAAGACTCATGTTGAGCAGCTGGTCCCGGCGAATGGGTCGAGACTTCCTGGGGTCGACGCTATATGCCAGAATCATAACGTCGGGGGGGCTTGGGAAGAGACATTTGCATAAGCATACTGTCAGGAACTTTGGCTCAGCGTGTCGGTCCGCCGGTTCTGGCCCACGACGCTGCGGCGCGACACGCTATCCATGCCCCCACTCCCAAGCGTCCACGTTGCGATCGATTCCCAGCCTCCCGCCCCGCGGAGCGGAGCGACATGCTATCCGCCGGCAGGGCATAGCGTGTCGCCTGGGCCGACACTGCGGCACAGCAAAAGTTCCAGACTGTAAGCGCAATGCACTTTCGAGTGTCCGCGCGGATTTCTTGCATCTGCGCTGCACCACCGCCCTTCTGCGGCGCCCGGGGCGCGCCAGTGGGGCGCCGCCAGGGGGTCCCAGCGCAGATCCAGGAAATCCGCGCGAACCTCGGACAGTTCCTGTTTACGCCGCCCTTTCTCCCCCTGAAGGCGGCCCACGACCTGGGCCTGCTGCTGCCCGAGCTCGCTGGCACAGGCCTCGGCTGCGCGTGCAGATAGAGACGTGCAGGGGTGGAGCTCCGCCGCCAGAGTGGCCTCTTCTTCACAGAGCGCGTTCCACTACTCGCAAGGTGCCCACTCGCAAACGTCCGGAAAACACATGCGTGCCTCGATGTGATGGATGGTGCATCCCTTGCGCCGGATCCAGGCCACTCGCGAGTAGTTAGCTGGCGAGTAATTCGTGGAACGCGCTTGTCCACTTCTGGTGCGGGCCCGCCCGTGGGGTCCCCCCAGCGCGCTGGCCCGCGCGCTCGGGCTTGCCCTCGTCCCCCCCCCCGGCCCCTGGAGCCGCGCACCAAGGATCGCTCTCCCAGGCATCCGAAGCCGTGCCCTTTTTCCAGTGGTCGGGGAAACGTAAGACTCGAGTGCGCCAGAACTTGGGCTTGCAAGCGCTTTTTGACGAGCGCGCCCTGGATTTTGATGGTCCAGTTTCTGTGGGGTGTCTGCAGCGGGAGCTCGCGTCAAATTTCAGATTGGGTCTCGTCATTTGTGATGGCCTCGTCAGGCCAACCCGAGTCCCCCGAACCCGAGTCTTACGTCTCCCTGACAAAAGTCTGGACCTCTTCCCGGGGACCTCTTCATCCTGACGGTCCTTTGGGTCCGGTGCGGGCCCCCGCAGGCCGTAAATTGTTCAGAAGTGTTCGTCACGACGATGACGTTGTTTAATTTCAAGCATCAAGGTTCTAGATTCCCCAAGCAGTCCCCGCACTTAGGTGTTCTAATTCGTTGCCCAGTCGCCGCCTCGTCGCCGCCCGTCGTCTGGGCCTGTGTGGCGGTCTGGCGGCTTTGTTGTCGCCGTCGCCGCCCTGTCGCCGCCTCGTCGCCGCCCGTCGTCTGTGCCCGTGTGGCGATCTGGCTGCTATGTTGTCGCCGTCGCCGCCCTGTTGCCGCCTCGCCGCCGCCCGTCGTCTGGGCCTGTTTAGCGGTCTGGCGGCTATCTTATCGCAGTCGCCGCCTCGTCGCCGCCCGTCGTCTGGGCCTGTGTGGCGGTCTGACAGTTATGATGTCGCCTTCGCCGCCCGGTCGCCGCCTCGTCGCCGCCCGTTGTCTGGTCCTGCATTTTTGGCATTGCTTCGCATAGCTATGCCTTACTTTGCACTGCATTGCTTTTCATTGCTTTGCGTTGCATTGCATTGCCTTGCATTGCCGTGCCGTGCGTTGTATTACTCTGCATTGCTTTGCGTTGCCTTGCATTGCATGGCATCGCTTCGCATCTGTTTTGCGTTGTTTGAGTGTAAAGCACCGCAAATATATTGCACCACATAGGTTGCTCCCCATGCATTGCATGTTATGGGTTGCTAGAAGCACGAAGCTTTGTCCCCACGCTGGCTAACACTCTCGGAATTAAATATATATATATGTATTAGCCAGCGTGGGTCCTGAGCAGTGTGTTTATAACAATAAGTTATGTACAATCTATGTGGTGCAATTGATCTTTACCAATGATTTGACACATCCCATGCTCTTGCAAACATCCCACCCACCCATCCGCAACTTGGTTTGCAAAACCTCTTAAGACCGACTACGACGACACCGACGACAACGACTACTACGACACCGACGATGACAACGACGACGACGACAACGACAACGACTACTACGACGTCTCCGACGACTTCGATGACGACGACGACGACGACACCGACGACGATACCGACGACGACGACGCCGACGCCGACGATGACGACGACCACGATGACAACGCTGACGACGACGACAACGACGACGCCGACGACGATACCGACGACGCCGACGACGACGGCGACGACAACGCCGACGCCGACGACGACGACGATGACAACGCCGACGACGACGACGCCGACGAAGCCGACGACGACGACGATGACGACGACGACGACGTCGCCAACGAAGACGACGACGACGAGGGAGGAGGGAGGACGACGACGGCGACAACGACGACAACGACGAGGGAGGAGGGAGGACGGCGACGACGCGAACGACGAAGAAGGAGGAAGGACGGCGACGCCGACGACGACAACGACGAGGGAGGAGGGAGGACGGCGACGACGACGACGGCGACGAAATAGGAGGGACGACGACGAGACGCCGACGACGGACGACGACGATGACGACGAGGGAGGAGGAGGAAGGACGACCACGGCGACAACGACGACGGAAGCGACCTTGACGCCAAAGAGGACGACGACGACGAACACCAGGAAAGACAGAGGACGACGTAGGCGACGACGACGACGACGACGCGGGAGGAAGGAGGACGGCGACGACGACGACGATGCAAGAGCGCGCGCGCACGCTTTTGTTGAAAATCCGTGTTGCGACGCCTTGTGCTTTTGGCGGTTTTTTGGACACACGATGTTGAAATCCTTCCGAATCCGATGGGTTTTGAAGGATTTCCGCATACGCGCGCGACGACGCGCGCGTCTGCACTTCGTCTTGTTTTTTACAGAGGATTCTCGCGACGGGACACGCGCAAGGGCGTTCGACAGATTTCGACATGCGCGCGCGCAAAAGTTTCGCAAGAGCTCGCGCGTAAGCTTTTTTAGCACATCAGTGTTGCCAAACCCTGTGTTTTTATATGGTTTTTTGGAAACTCGATTGCGAAATCCTTCCGACACCGAAGGTTTTTGAAGGATTTCGACATGCGCGCGCGACGACGCGCGCGTGTGCACTTCGTCACATTTGTTGCAGGGGATTCGTGAACAAATGTTATGTTAGAACAAAAGATGTCCCCGCGTATCGTTTCTTACAAGGGAATCGCAGGGGGACCGATAGCGGTTCCCCGGGTATTATGTAAATTCATATTTAGAATGGACATGTGGTCAGAATCATATATGATTTGCATACCCGACAGGGGGGCGGCGAACGCTGGGGGGGGGTCGAGTCCTTTTTTTCCCAACCCTCCTTGGTTGGGTATTCGTTTTGAATAGAGCAGTGTGGTCGCGTCTCCTCCCGCCTCCCGCCTCTTTCCTGCCTCTTTCTGTCTTGCCTGCGGGGGGCTGCGATCTGTGAAACTGTCGCCACTTTCGAGGCCTGCTGGGGGGTCCAGCACAGAGGGTAACGCGGCGGATTCAAATTAGACCTCGCCATCCCTGGGGGGCTGCGATCTGTGAAACTGTCGCCACTTTCGAGGCCTGCTGGGGGGTCCTGCATAGTGGGTAATCGCGGCGGATTCAAATTAGACCTCGCCATCCCTGGGGGGCTGCGATCTGTGAAACTGTCGCCACTTTCGAGGCCTGCTGGGGGGTCCTGCATAGAGGGTAATCGCGGCGGATTCAAATTAGACCTCGCCATCCCTGGGGGGCTGCGATCTGTGAAACTGTCGCCACTTTCGAGGCCTGCTGGGGGGTCCTGCATAGAGGGTAATCGCGGCGGATTCAAATTAGACCTCGCCATCCCTGGGGGGCTGCGATCTGTGAAACTGTCGCCACTTTCGAGGCCTGCTGGGGGGTCCTGCACAGAGGGTAACGCGGCAGATTCAAATTAGACCTCGCCATCCCTGGGGGGCTGCGATCTGTGAAACTGTCGCCAGTTTCGAGGCCTGCTGGGGGGTCCAGCATAGAGGGTAATCGCGGCAGATCCAAATTAGACCTCGCCCTCCCTGGGGGGCTGCGATCTGTGAAACTGTCGCCACTTTCGAGGCCTGCTGGGGGGTCCAGCATAGAGGGTAATCGCGGCAGATTCAAATTAGACCTCGCCATCCCTGGGGGGATGCGATCTGCGAAACTGTCGCCATTTTCGAGGCCTGCTGGGGGGCCCAGCACAGTGAGGGCCACGCGCGGATTCAAATTAGACCTCGCCATCCCTGGGGGGCTGCGATCTGCGAAACTGTCGCCATTTTCGAGGCCTGCTGGGGGGCCCAGCACAGTGAGGGCCACGCGCGGATTCAAATTAGACCTCGCCATCCCTGGGGGGCTGCGATCTGCGAAACTGTCGCCATTTTCGAGGCCGGCCTGCTGGGGGGCCCAGCACAGTGAGGGCCACGCGCGGATTCAAATTAGACCTCGCCATCCCTGGGGGGCTGCGATCTGCGAAACTGTCGCCATTTTCGAGGCCTGCTGGGGGGCCCAGCACAGTGAGGGCCACGCGCGGATTCAAATTAGACCTCGCCATCCCTGGGGGGCTGCGATCTGCGAAACTGTCGCCATTTTCGAGGCCTGCTGGGGGGCCCAGCACAGTGAGGGCCACGCGCGGATTCAAATTAGACCTCGCCATCCCTGGGGGGCTGCGATCTGCGAAACTGTCGCCATTTTCGAGGCCTGCTGGGGGGCCCAGCACAGTGAGGGCCACGCGCGGATTCAAATTAGACCTCGCCATCCCTGGGGGGCTGCGATCTGCGAAACTGTCGCCATTTTCGAGGCCTGCTGGGGGGCCCAGCACAGTGAGGGCCACGCGCGGATTCAAATTAGACCTCGCCATCCCTGGGGGGCTGCGATCTGCGAAACTGTCGCCATTTTCGAGGCCTGCTGGGGGGCCCAGCACAGTGAGGGCCACGGGCAGATTCAAATGAGACCTCGCCATCCCTGCGGGGCTGCGATCTGTGAACCTGTCGCCACTTTCGAGGCCTGCTGTGATCCCCGTTTTCGAAGTGGCTAGGAGTGCTCAGGAATTGTAAATCATCAGCTTTATCAAGCCCTTTTCCTGTAGCCAGTGTCCTGCGAGTCTCCCGAATTCCGTCTGCAGACATATGTAACCCTCGCTCCGTCATCGCCCCCTTATAAAGTATCCTAAACTATTTGCGCCCCGCTTTTGCGCAGGGGTTGGGTACGTCGCCAGGGTAATTTTTCCCAGCCCTCCTTGGTTGGGTATTCGTTTTGAATAGAGCAGTGTGGTCGCGTCCTTCCTCCTCCCGCCTCCCGCCTCTTTCCTGCCTCTTTCTGTCTTGCCTGCGGGGGGCTGCGATCTGTGAAACTGTCGCCACTTTCGAGGCCTGCTGGGGGGTCCTGCATAGAGGGTAATCGCGGCGGATTCAAATTAGACCTCGCCATCCCTGGGGGG